GCCCCGAGGGCCCCAGTTGCCGAACTCGCTGCGTTTACGCTGTTCCCGCCACTCGGACCACGCTTGCGGCGCGTGCCATTATTTTATTGGAATGCGCCCCCTGGGTCGAGCGGGGAGAGCTCCGACCCCCCGCAGGTGCGCGTCGGCACGTTCGTTTTTTCATGTATTCTTACAGTCGTGCCATACGTCTCGGTCGTTGTCGCCAGGTGCACATCCCGTTCTTCTCCCACATGAGTTGGCGCCAAGAATCCCCTCCTCGCAGGCGTTCGTCGTGGCCTTTCTTTGCGACCGCCGTTCTACGATTGCTCTACCTGCGACGTTGATTCTGCCTTTCGCCCCTGCCAGGTCCTGTCGGCGCTCCGCCCGTTGGCGCCCTCTGGGCAGTTGTGCCCTCAGGGCGCCTGTCGTCGAGCTCCCATCTTCGGCCTACTTCCGCCGCGCGCGTCCGCGCGTCGCAAGGGGGGCGGAGGGGGGGCGCGCGCGACGGCGCAGGCCTGGCCGGCGGCGACACCGGCATAGCCCTGCCACTCACCTCGCCGCACGCCGCCCATGAGGCGCGCGCGCTTCTGGGGGCGGCCCGGCTTATAGCGCGGGCGCTGCCCCCCAGGGGGGGGGGGCATATGCGGATAGGCTCACCGGAGCGATCATCCCGCTCGCACCTTTCCCCCCGCCCGCTGGCCTCGCGCTTGGCAGTGTCTGCTGCAAATCGTGGACTTGGTCCTCGCGCCTCATCTCTCGCTGTTCTCCTCCACCCGTCCTCTTTCCTCCTTGGCTCCGTCCATTCCTCTCTCGACTGGCGGAAAGTGGCCGCGCGTCGCTTGTGCAGGCGCAAATCTTGAGGCCGATGTTCACGCGATTCAGCGCGCCGGTCCAGTTCCCTGACGGGCGAGATTAGGTGACAGCGAAAACTGATGCGCCCACCATGGGAGAAATCGCAAGCGATTTGCCCCACCTATTAGCGATCTTCGCTCAATCCCAGGCGATCTGCTTTCCCCGTGCGGTCTCCGTGCGATTCAAGAGCCAATGTCCCCATCGCCCTCTCATCTTTTCCATAGACACCCTAGCCCCCCCAGCCCTCATTCCTCCTCTCCTGTTAGACTGCGCGCGTCGGGTTGCTCTGCCCGCGTTCGCTTTATTGTTGCAGCGCCAGTGCCCCCCCCCGGCCTTTCATATTTCCTATATCCGTCCTGGTCCTCCAAGTTCCCCATCCTCCTCTTTTATTTTTAGAAGAGCGCAGCACGCGTCGATTGATCTGCCGTGATCAACCTCTTTCTTGCAGCACGTGTTTGCCCCGCGCTGCCCTTCTTGGGTTCGCCCTCGCCTGGCTGCCTCGTGCGCTCCTCTGGGCAAGCTCGTCTCCGAAGCACCGTCGGTTGCCGCTTGCCGCTGATTTGTAGGATGGGGCGCACCCACCAGCCGAATGCCCAGGAGGGCAAACCGCTCGACAGCCTTCTCGGGACAGGAACCCGAGCGTCCGCCGCTGAAACCATCAGGGCGTGGCGATGGGCTCGACGTGCCCAGCCAGCGCGCGGCGAGGGCGGTGAGTTGTCACCTTTTGTGATATTGTTGGGTTCGTGCTCGTCATGGTCGGCTGGGCCACGCGTCGATGCAGGCTGGCGCACGCTTTCCTTGGCGTTGGCTGGGTATGGGCCTGGAGTTCCAGCAAGTGTAGTGCGTAACGCGAATTTTTTTGATTGCTCGTAGTCGGGCGAAACTCCGCCTCGCCACGCTGGGCTTACAGGCGCAGTCCGACAGGGCACCGACAGGCCAGCGATCTCTCACACTGGACCATGATGTGGTCCAGGAAGACCTTTACCGCGAGGGAGGGGGGATGATGAGGGGCGGATGAAGAGGAGACGGAGGAGGAGGAGAGGGAGGAGGAGGAAAAAAAAGGGGGAAGAGGAAAAGGAGGGGAGGAGGAGGAGGAGGAGGAGGAGGAGGAGGAGGAGGAGGAGGAGGAGGAGGAGGAAGAACAAGAAGAGGAAGAAGAAGAAGAAGAAGAAGAAGAAACAGAAACATAAGAAGAAGACGGGGAGGAGGAGGACGGGGAAGAGGAGGAGGAGGAGGAAGAAAAGGAGGAGGAGGAGGAGGTGGAGCAGCAGCGCCGACCGATGTTTGAAAGCATGGTGCCCTGCCGGCCGGAGCCGCGCCGCGCCCTTGCTCACGCGCAGCTCCGCAGCCCCGCGTGCGCCGCCCCGCCCTGCGCGCCCCGCCGCCGGTCGGCGCCCCCGCGCGGTGCCGTGGTGCAGTTGACGGGCTGCAGAACTTGGGCGGGGCTCTCAGAGCCCCCCCTAGGCATAGGCAAAGTGGGAACTGGGCAGGGAGAAACCCTCGACGGTGCGCGCACAGTTTCTCGGATCGGCGCTGGGGCCCCCTGGCGGCGTTTTTGGCACCACCTTTGGCGCGCTCCGCGCGCCAGGGTGGCGGGTTCAACGCATATCTACTGGATGCTGGACCAAGCAGAGAACGGTTTCCACCCAGGGATCGTGTGGTGTTTGGGATCCGCGTCATTGGGGAAGTATTTCCTCAGCTTGCTCATTATTTAGATGCTTTCGGGGGTGAGTTTGTAGACGTGCTTCGCGTATGGCTGGTGCCACTTACGCGCCGCGGACGCAGAAATGGAGGTGCAGGTGGATGAGGAGGAGACGGGGGAGGCAGGGGAGAGGGGATGGGAGGCCCGGGCTCGCTGTAGGCCTCGCTAGTTTTCATGCCCGAGCCCGGGGCCACTGCAAGTTTTTGCCATCATATTGGCAGAAGGTGTTCTACGCGCATCTTTCTGTCTGCTAGGATTCACGGCTTGCTTGACTTGAGTCTTTTTATAAGCCACGTGGCCGCGACGGTTGCCTTCATATCCAGAGAATCCCCATAGTTGCTGAATGTCGTACCCTACGCCCTGGGTATCGATGCGCATCAAAAGAACAGATCGCCAAAGAGGCCCCCAAGTTCGCGCCAAGACAACCAAAAAGGCCCCATGATGACCTCAGGACGGCCCAAAAGAGCCCCGAGACGGTCCAAGAGGCGCCCAAGAGGGGTCCAAGAGGCGGAAGTTGCTACAAGTGGGCAGCCCCCAAGAGGCTTTGAGAAGCTTCAAAAGTCGCTCCACGAGGCGCCCGAGAAGCATACCACTAGACCCCGCTGCTGAGGAACACGCGTGGTCGGGCGCTGAACTCTTGGTGTGCCACGATCTGCGTCAAGGGTGTGTCGAATAATTTGGATGCCCCCGCGCGAACACTCCCACTGAGGCCTCAGGTGGAGCTCCTCTGGGCACGACCCGCGCGAAGCATGCCCCGAAATGGGCGGGAGTGGCGTTATGCGAAGCTGCCATCTGGTGCTACAGGTGGAACTCCTTCTAGGGTATGATTCGCGTGCCGATGTGCGAACCTTGTCTCTGAGCTTGTAGGTATGGGCGTTGTGCGAACCTTGTCTTTGGAGTTCCTTCTTCGACATGGGCGCGGGGGCGCTGTGGGAACCTTGTGTCTCGGCCTGTAGGCGGTGCTCCATGTGGGCACGATCCGCGTGATGGGTTGAGCCGCAATGGGCGCGGGGGGGGGGGGGGGGGGGCGGAATGCGAACCTTGCCTCTGGGGCCGTTGGTGGAGATCCCTGAAGGCCACGATCCGTGTGAGAGGTGTGCCGACGTAGGCGGGGGGCGGGATCCGATCCCTGTCTCTGGAGCTGTCCGTGGACCTCCCCGCGGGCCACGAGGACTCGAGTCCTTGGTATCGCTCGGACGTGTGCCTTTTTTCTCGGCGAGGACCATCGAGAAGCATCCTGGATCGTTCTGCAATATACAGCATGCACGGAACCGAGCTGAACTGCAGAAATTCCGATACGAAGTGCTTCAGCACGTCTTTCTGCTTGAGCGAACAGACTGGGGGAGGCCAGGGGAGCCCTTGATAAGTTATGCCTGGTATGGGGGCACGCGAACATCAGTCGGAGCAGAAAGATCATGCTGTTCAACGCGTGCGTAATTTCCAAGCTCTCCTACAGCATCGAGGCTTTGTGCTTGCGAAGAGCAGAGAGGGATAAACTTGATGCGTTCCAGGCCCAGTGTCTGCGCAAAATACTAAAGATTCCTCATTCCATGATCTCCCACGTGTCCAACCACAGCGTGCGGCAACAAGCCGGGCAGCACCGTCTTAGCAGCCACATTCTCATGAAACAGTTCGATCTGTTCGGGAAGCTTGGCAGCATGCCGGGCTCAGCAGCTCGCGATGTAGTGTTCGCACCCGGGAGCGTGAACCCGCCGATCCTACACGGAAGAAGGGCACGAGGCCGCCCCAGATTGACATGGGCTCGCGTAGTGCATGAGCACGCGTCGCTAGCATGCTCGGCTTCTGGCACATCTGTGCGCGTCGAGCTCGGGCCGAATTATAGCAGGGCTCGGTGGAGAAGCGCTGCCCAAGCGTATGTTGTCTGAGAGGCTGTGCGTTAGAACTGTTGTAATTCGCCTTGTGCTGTTTAGCCGATGCGCCGTGCGGCGCGGCTCCACTTGCTTGCTTACGGAACCGAGCAGCGCATTGGGAAAGGTTGCCAGAAGTTGGGACGTGGATGCTTCTCACTCCCCCCCCTTCCTCAGCCTCGAGGCGATAAGGCATCGGCTTGGCATCGCTCGGACATGTGCATGCCTTCTCTGCGAGGGCCATCGAGGAGCATCCTGGATCATCGAGCAAACAACGAAATCGAAACATGCCCGGGGAGTGGACTTCCGAGCGATGGCGAGGCGGCGGCTCTATTCCCGCACGGGGCGAAACCGCGCGGCTGTCCGAATCGGGCAGGCGCACAGAAGCGTCGCTTCAAACGCCCGCCTCCCCCCCCCAGGGACGAGGAAGGACCCCGCCCTACCCTCCACCTCGCGTCCCAAGCTGCACGGTGGGAAGTGATTGTCAAATCTGCGGAGGGGACTTGGACCGCGGGAAGAAAGGTGGGGGCAGGAGGGAGGAGGGTAGGGGGCGATGAGCACAGCCGATGTCTCGGCCGAGCCCTCCTCCAGCAAAGCAGGGGAGGCGGCCAGAAGACCCGCCAGTGGACGCACGAGGACAAGAACAGAGCTAGCCTGTTCGTGGAGCGAAGGGGATGGGGACGGGATGCAAGTGGCTCGCCCGCGCATCGCGACATCTGTGTGTCGCGGCCTTTCCGGCCAGAGAAAGGAAGACGAGAACTTGGAGGACCAGGAACGACGATGAGTACGATGAGTACGATGATGATGATGATGATGATGATGATGATGATGATGATGATGATGATGATGGTGGTGATGGTGATGGTGATGGTGATGATGATGATGATGATGATGATGATGATGATGATGATGATGATATTGATGCTGATGATGATGGTGATGATGGTGATGGTGATGGTGATGGTGATGGTGATGATGATGATGAAGATGATGATGATGATGATGATGATGATGATGATGATGATGATGATGACGATGATGATGATGATGACGGTGACGATGATGATGACGATCAGGAGGAGGAGGAGGAGCAGGAAAAGGAGGCGCATGAGGAAGAGGGGCAGGGGATGGGAACGAGATATTTCGATGGAGTATGGGGAGTAGGGGGAAGGGGGAGGGCGGAGGGCGAACGAGAAAGACGGAGCAGGAGCAGGACGATCATATTATTGCCACCCATTTCACGGGCTCTCCGGGCGCTCCGGGCGCGGCTAGAAAGATTGTTGGAGGCGGTGGTGCCGCCCTCTGTCGTGTGTCCGACACACTGCTATCATGCGTTCGTTGTATCATTCCCAGGCATATTGTGGTGTTTGGTCTTCGTTCTGAAGAGACAGCGCCCCGTGTCTACTCATTCCTCCTCCCCCTCCCATGCCTGCCTTTGCTCTCACACGTGCCGTCATCACCATTATGATCGTCACCATCATCATCGCCATCATCCACATCGTCATCCGAATTGTGCATATGCCCTCCGCATGTCAGTTTCGGGACCACCCCTCACACGCTTCGTGGCCTCAAAGGGGGCTCCACCGGAGGTCCTAGTGGCAGGGTCCGCATGCGTCCCCCCGCCCAGTTCGGCCCACCCATCACGCGGTTCGTGGCCCCGTAGGGAGCTCCACCGAAGGCCCCAGCGGCAGGGCCCGCATGCGTTCCCCCGCACGTTTTGGCACACACTTCACACGCTTCGTGGCCCCATAGGGGGTTCACCGAAGGCCCCAGTGGCAGGGTCCGCATGCGTCCCCCCGCCCATTTCGGCACACCCCTCACGCGGTTCGTGGCCCCATAGGGAGCTCCACCGAAGGCCCCAGCGGCACTCCGTAGCCATTTTGGCTGAAGCCGTTCCCCCTCTACCGTGCTCGTTTTGGGCCCCGCGGGAGGTCGCTGAGTTTCGATAGCTTGGGGGATGGCTGCGGTCGGTGGCCGAGTCGCCTTCGCGGCGGCCGAGCTGCCCCGGCAGGCTGGAGCGCCCTCGGCGTCCCTCTGGCCAGCGCGTCGGGCCCGCAGGGCCACGGCCCGCGTTGCTGACCGTGGGAGGCTGGAGGTTGCGCTGGCGCGAGTCGCTTCCCTCGAGAGCGAGCCCGCAGCGCGGGAGGCCTGCCACGCGGCGGCGTCGGCGCAGGCTCTGCAGCTGTCCCGCGACCTCGGCTCCCTCGACCCCCAGCCCGACGTGCAGCTTCTCGACGAGGTCACGTCGCGGCTGGCGTTGGCAGTCCCCGTGATCTTAGAGGTGTTCGCGGGCCCGCAGCGCCCGCGCCCCCGCGCCTCCGACCCCCCTTCTCCCTCGGCCCGCGTCGGAAGTGCCGAGGAAGCGCAGCACAGCGACGCGGCGCTGGCGAGAGCCGACAACTACACCCAGGACGCCTCTTCGGGCATGCCCTCCGTCGGCGTGCCAGGCGCAGAGGCGGACACTGGTGCGAGTGCAGCTGCTGCCGCACCCGCGCACGACCAGAGCGACGAACAGTCGGGCGAAGGCGGACGCAGGAGAGCTGTGGCCCCTCGAGCATCGTCGCGATGCGGCAGGCCTCCCTCAACAGGCTGCAGCGGGCGGCCCTGGCGCTCGGCCGCCGCCGCAGCGCTAGGCGGGCCGTCCTCGCTCCGCCTCGGCCGCACCGCCGCCAGGCCTCGGTTCGCACGGCAGCTGGGGCGGCCTTTGGCGACTGGACGGTGGCAGGGCGGCGACGCGGAGCAACGTTGCCCGTTGGAGCCAGGTTCGCCTTGGCCGAGCGCGTCCGTGGCGGGGGACCTCCTTGTGATCCCCCCTTTGGGCACGGCCCAATGTGGTGAACATCTGACTTGGATTTGGCGGGGAGGGGCCTCCCCCCCCGCCCATGACGATGGTCCGCTTGTCAATCAGCAGGAGCGGGAGGCCTTGCAGCACGTGGACTCGGAACGCTCGGTTCTGGACGCCGAGCCCGTCGCCGAGCCCGACGAGCCGCCCCTCCTCTCCAACTTCGGCTCGTTGGCCCGCGAGCGGGGGCTCGCGCCGCCCGCCGTCGTTGACTTCGTCCCCGACTGCACTGCGCTGGTCTTGAGCGGCGGCAGTCACAGGCCATTGCGCGTGCTCCAGCGGCACATGGCGGCGAACGTTGCGGTCCCTCTCGCTCGTTGCGGGTCTGTGGAGTGCTCGGCGGCCCTCGACCGTCTCTCGCGCGCCCAGCGGTGCTACGAGCAGGCTCGGCAACTCTGCTCGGTCGCCCCGATGGCTTTGCATGCTAGCGCCGTTGGATGGCAAATCGGGGCTCGGCTGAAGCGGGCGACCCTCAAGGGCTCGCTTCGCGGCGCCCATGAACTGCCGTTGGCGTGCGTCGAGGTTCCTGCCAACGAGTCAGCCGACCTTTCGCGGTGAGCGTATGTGGAGGACCGCTTTTTCTTACGTGATGTCGCTGTTTCGCGTCAGTTTGGTGTTGAGTTTCGCGGGTCCCGCTTGACTGCAGTTGGTACTTGACACCACGCCGTGGTTGACGACGGCGGCGACGCCTTCGGCAGTGTCTTCCCCGTCCTGGCAGGCGGGCTGTCCTCGAGGGAGTGGCTTCGGTGGTCTTCCCGCTTTTGTGTGGGGGGGGGGGGGGGCGCGGCCTGGCTGATGGCGCGCGCTGTGCTGTTCCAGGTGACGCCACACACCTCCGCTCCCAGGGAGTGGCTTCGGTGGCATTCCTTCGGCTTGGGGGAGGCACCGCCAGGGTGATGGCGCGGGCTGCGTTGCCCCAGGTGACGCCGCACACCTGTCATGGAGTTCGGTCCTTTCGCTTTCCCCTTCCACTGCGGAGGCGTGAGAGCCTGACGCGCTGGGGGCAGGGCCGCATGTGGCTGCCATGGCGCGGTGAGGGGTTTTGCTCGAGTGGCGGCGTGCTGGCCCTCTGGATCGCTCGCCCCTTTGCCGTTCGGAACCCCGCTTGTCAGGCGTTCGCTTGCCGTCTGCGCCCTCGGCGACCGCCGCTGCGCGGTCGCTTGAACCTGAATCCGTGCCGCGCGAATCTGGCCCAGAGCTAAAGTACGATAAAAGACCCCAACGGCAGGGTCCGCGTGCATTCCCCCGCCCTTTTTGGCACACCCTTTCACGCGCGTTGTGGCTCCATAGAGGGCTCCGCCGAAGGCCACAGTGGCAGGGTCGGAATGCGCCACCCAACCAATTTTGGCATACCCCCACACGCTTCGTGGCCCCACAAGGAATCCCACCGAAGACCCCGATTGCAGGGTTCGCATGCGCCCCCCCCCCTGGGAAATTCAGCATACCCTCATGCGCTTCGTGGCCCCATAGGAAGTTCCACCGAAGGCTCCAGTGGCAGGGGCGGCATGCGTCCCCCGCCCATGACGGCCCACCGCTCACACGCTTCGTGGCCCCACAAGGGGCTCTTCACGGAGGTCCCAGTGGCAGGGTCCGCATGCGTCCACCCGCCCATGTGGGCACACCCTTCGCACGGCTCATGGCCCCATGGGGAGATCCACCGAAGGCCCCAATGGCAGGGTCCGCATGTGCCATCCCGTTGATTTCAGTATGCCCGTCACACGCTTCGTTGCCTCATAGGGGGCTCCTCCGAAGGTCCCACTGGCAGGGTCCGCGCGCGCGCCCCCCCCCCCCCCCCGCCCGTCCAGCACGCCCCTCACACGCTTCGTGGCTCCATAGGGAGCTCCACCGAAGGCTTCAGTGGCAGGGTCCGCATGCGTCCCCCCCGCCCATCCTGGCACATCACTCACATGTTGCTTGAAATGGCAATGGGACTTCCACAAAAGATCATCGTGAGGGTGTTTGCATGCGCCCTTGCCACCCAGTCGACACACCTGCCGCACGCTTCGTGGCCCCACTGGAAACTCCACCGAAGACGATGTCCACACTTACGTTACCCACAACTGCATATGGCTAGGTGTTTCGCCAGGCGACTCGTGTTGTTTTAGTTGCTCCAATCTTGTATACCCCTATTGTCTACCAGGGGAGCCTCGACACGCGAAACAGCAAAGGCCAATTGGGGATTCAAAAAACCTGGTCGCATTCCACGCGGCCAGGAGGGTCCAACATATCTTGAGGACGACCCCAGGAATCTCCGAAGAGTGTCTCACGAAACCAATACGGCCGAGTAGGACCCCGATAGGGCAAGCAACATTGAGTCACCATTGTGTGTTTCATGTTGTGTGCCTGTCCTCTTCGCCATCGTGTGTGAACCCATCCTCCATGCATCGCCTGCCGACGCGCCTTGGGCGTGCGGCTGTGTCGCTGTCGTTGTCTCTTCGTTCGGTGCCTCCTCGCATACAATTCATTTTGCTATCTCGTTCAGTTTCCCTCACCCCCCACTTGCTCTACGTGGCCAGCGCATTATTCTGCTTGTGGGACTGCCTCCATTTTTGTTTGTATATCATGTCCATGTATATGTATATGTGTGTGTATGTATGTATGTATGTATATCTATATATATATATATATATTCAGCGTGGGCCACGCTTAATGAGGTCGCGTTTTGCCTACGTCGGCACGTCTCGAATGTCCTTCGGCTCATCCCGCCACCGTGCCTGGGTTGTGGAAATGATTCAGGCGGAGCAGCTCGCGGCAGCGTTGGGTGTTCGCTTTGCCTCCCGCCTGAGGGCGGCGGCAACTAGCTCGGAGCCTGCGGGGTTGTCTCAACGGCTTGCCACCGCGCCCCAGCGGCTCGCGGGTTTGCCCCGTCGGCCTGGCCCGCGGGGTTGGCCCGACGGCTGAGCTATTCTGCCGTCGGGGAACGCGCCCCTGCCGGGCGCGGCGGCGAGGACGCCGAGGAAAATCGGCACGCGCGCCCTTGCCAGGAGGAAGGGGAGGTGCATCGGGACAGCAGGCATGATGGAGATGAGGAGTGGGAAAAGGAGGATAACACATACGAGGAGGAGGGGGGGAAAATGAGGAGGAGTGGGAGGAGGACGAAGAGGAGGAGGACGAGGAGGAGGAGGGGGATAAGACATGTAACGGGTGGAGCGAGAAGGACGATGTCGATGAGGAGGAGGACGACGCAGAATCGGGAGGATGGCTTGCGCTAATCGAATAGGAAGAGGGCGAAGGGGCAATCTACATGGAATCTCGTGTGGGGCCCTACCGTCGGAAAAATTCCAAGGAGAACGCGCAAGATCCAGGCAAACGTTGTTCAAGAGGAAGGTCGGGCTCCGCCCAGGAAGGAGCCGTCGGAACCAAAGCGGTCTCGCCACCAGTTGGCCGGATCATCTTCAGACCAGTCCGTCCCCAAAGTCTCCCACTATTATCTTGAAGGGGATCGAAGCAAGCTTACCTATCTTGCCCGCAAGGTCTATGACCCTCTCGGAAAGCTCGGCCTCGACCAGGGGACCCGTACCCGACATTGTTGCAGTCAGTTCGTCGATCTCGTTTTCTTGCGCAAAAAGCTCCGCGCCGACGGTCCCCAACTTTGTAGGAGGACGTAGGAGGACCCCGAAGGGGGCCTCCAGACGCGAGAGTGATGACTTCCTCGTTGAGAATCCAGGGCGGTCCAAGAGGCCCCCCAGACAAGCCCAAGACAGCCTAAGAGGGCTCCGAGAGGGCCCAATAATGGGCCCAAGAAGAGGCCCTAGACGGCCCAGGAGGCACCAAGACCGACCAAGATGCTTCCAAGAAGGACCCAAGAGAGGCCAACCACGGGAAAGTCGAAGGGGCCGCAGGAGCCTGGTTGGGGAAACATCTTGCAACCTTGAACCCCGAGGGGGGCCAGCGGATTTTCTTGCAGAGAAGAAGTCGGTGGCCGCGCCCCCCCCAGCACGCCAACTCGAGCAGTGCGTATGGACCTTGAACCAGAATGGCTGCCGGCCTCCTCCCCCCCCCTCCTCGCCAGATTCCCTCCCTCCCCTCCCTCCTCCGTGGGGGCGTAGGGCAACATCGGCTGGGAGACCACCGAGGCCCAGCTCAGGGAGCAGCTCGAGCAGAGCGCAGGCGGCCCGCCCCGCGGGGCCCCCTCTCAGTCCTCGTTCGCTGCGAGGTCGTGGTCGTCGTCGTCGTGCCATCTTGGACCGTTGATCGAGAAGAAGGCCAAGTTGAGTCATCATCAGCTCTCGGAGGTCCGCGCGGGTTTTCCAGGGGCGGACGCGCAAACCGATGCCCAGCACGGTCGGGGCCTTCAATTGTCGTCATTTTTCTGTGTTACCGGCGTGCACGTTCTCGACGGAACAGGTTCAACCGCGATTGTGTTATTGCTTTTCAGGCCCCTGGTGGGCCCTAGCGTTCACGGTCGGGGCGACTGGAGGGGGCCCGAGTCCCCCGTTGAACCCAATTGCTTTTGCCAGCCCACGCTGCACGGTCGGGGTCTGGACCATCGGCACATACGCGTTGCATCGATTCAACAGGCTTGCGCCAATCCGCCGATCCTCAGAAGAGGATGCATGTGCGGCTTCCGATTTCGTATCTGCTGTTTACCGCTTCCCGTCGTGCTGGCTGCGTGTAGTTGTTGTTGATTTGTCTTTCTCCTCTTCTCCGAGTCTGATGCGTGATTTCTTGCTTCTTGGAGGCCTCTTGGATGCCTCGGGGGCGGCTGGGAGTTTTTGTCAGGGCTCCCGGGGGCCCCCTGGGGGCTTTCTGGGGGCATGTGGGTTTCATAGGGGGCTACCGTGTGGGGGAGGGCTCCCGTGCCCCCGCGTTTTCCCCCTATTGGGGACCTCTCGAGGGCGTTTGTTGGTCGTGTTTGGGGTCTCTGGGGCTGAGTTGGAGCTCTCCTGGGCCGTCTCCGAGCTCTCTTGAGGGCTTCTTGGGCCGTCTCGGAGCGGTCTGGGGAGGCCTCAGGCCGCCTCAGGCTCGGGAGGCCCGCAGGCAAACAAACACTCAAAAATACATGTGATGTTTGCCTCGTGGAGCCTTCTCGGTGGTTCTCATGGGGCCCTCCTCGGGATGGGGGCCGCTTGGGCCTTCTTGAGGCCATCTCGGGTCTTCTTTAGGCCTCTCCAGCGTGCTGGAGCCCTTCTTGGAGCATCTTCGAAGGCGTCGTGGGCATCTTGAAGGCCACGAGAGGTGGATTCGGAGGCTCCGAGGCCCAGGAGGAGCTCCGGCGAGCTCTGGGAGCCTCCCCTTCAACTGCATTTTGGACAGTGTGGGAGGGGGGAAAGAGGGAGGGGGGAACAGCGACATGTCTCGCACGTCTCGGGGATCGGCGGATTCCTATATCCTCCGCGTTCCATTAGTTAGAGGTTCGGCCCGACATCGTTTCGTCGTTGCTGTCTCCTCTTGCTCCTCCTCCTCCCCTCTCCCTCCCCCTCCTGCGTCGAGGGAGGGCGAAAAGCAGGACAAATGCCCTCTTCAAAGAGACCATTGAGTCCTTTTCAGCTGCCTTGGGCATGATGGAGGAGAGAGGAGAGGGGCAGCAGGCAGCGAAGTATGGCAAAGTATCGAGGGAGGGCTACTGATCCGCATCATTCCTCTCTGTTTTCTTCCCTCGAGCGCACCCTTGTTGTCTTGCGCCTCCTCCTCCTCCTCCTCCTCCTCCTCCTCCTCCTCCCTCGCTTCCCTGAGCTTTGAACATAGACAACCAGTTCACATTGCTTTCGAGCCCTGAGATGGGGCGGGGCGCCACACAGTCTGTCCCCGACTCTGGCTGTGGCTGCCTGTCTTCCTGGGGCCTCTCCAGGGCGCTGGTGGCCAACTGGAGCAGTCGTCCTCGGTCTCGGTGTCCGCCCCAGCTCCGAACCACGCCTCGACGCCGAGTTCCCCGTGCCGCCGTCATGCAGAGGCGAGCTGCAGAGCCTGGAGTGGGTGAGGGTGGCGAGGGATAAGGACCCCGCCTCGTCGGCGTTCTGATCCTCGCCCTCTTTGCTCGCATGACTCTCGCGCCCCCCCTCCGGCAGCAGGGGCATCGCCTCATTATCCGTGTCCTGCTCCTCGCCTCGCCCTTGTCCTCCCTCACACTCATGATGTCCCTTCCCCTCTACCTCCTTCTCCTTCTCATGCTTCTCGGGCTCCTCGTTCTTCCGCCATCTTTTCCCCTCGACCATGATGAAGCACCATGCTTCTTCCCGCAGCTGCTGTGCGTCCCTTTGTCTGTGGTGCACGACCACATATTTTTGTCCCATGTCGAGATCCATGTGACGACTTCGAGGCGTGTACTCGAGCCACTGGGCGCAAGTTGAAGGAAGTGTATCAAGCCATCGCCCGCTTCATGCCAAGCCTGATCCAGTAGAGAGCATTGCATCGAGCACCGAGCATGTCGTTTCCGTGATAAAGTCTAAACGTCGCCGTGCTGTGCTGCGGGCACGCCATACTCCTGAGTTTCCTCTCCTTCGTCCTGCTCCTCCCCCCCGCCTTCCCTCTCTTGCGCGGTGCTGTGGCTTCTCCTCCCCCTCCCCAGTCTGAGGCACACTGCTGGCCATCCTGTTCCCACAGTCTCGGCCCCACGCCCTGCAGCCCCACTGGTCTGCGGGCCCCGTTCTTTGACCAGGGGTCTGCCGTCGTGGCCTCCGCTCGCCTGCTCCCCGCGCAGGAGACCAAGGCCGGCAGGGGGTTCGGCTTCCTGGAATTCAAGGACGAGGCTTCCGCCATGGCTGCCCTGGAGCTGCTGCGAGGCGCCGAGGCCGAAATCACGGAGGTGTTCGGCAGAAAGCTCAGACTACGCCATGCGGGGCAAGGTGCCGGAGACGCCGAGCAAGGAGTATACACCCGCGAGCGGTCACGTTCGCGCGACCGCCGCGGCGGCAGCGGCGTGGTGTGGGTGACGCTCTTCGTGGACGAGCTTTCCATGCCCGGCCGGCCCCAGCTCGAGCCCTTCCACAGCCCGAAGAAGGAACAGCAACATGAGCATAAAATGTTCGGAGTCACGCGGGGTTTCTTGGATCTGCGGCGGGCCCCGCTTGGCGGCGGCGCCGCCCCTGGCGAGCTCCGCGCGCCAGGGGGGGAATTCTAGCGCCGATCCCAGAAATCCGCGTGGACCTCTGAAAGTTGATGTTCACGCAGTTATTCTTCTTCTAACAGCGACCGTGAGGTTTGGGTCGACCCGCTCCTGGACGAGGGCGGCGGCCATCAGTGGCTGGCGGAGTTCGGCGAGGTCGAGGAGGTGTTCCGCATCCCCGACATCGACAACCCTGGCGAGGAGAGCGACCGCGGCTACGTGAGGTTCGCGACCCACGAGTCGGCCTTGGGCTGCGTCCGCTCCGGCCGCGCGGCCTGGTCGGAGTCCGAGAGGATCCTATCCTCGCAGAGCTCCTACGGGTCCTCGCAGTCAGGGGGCGCTAAGGCCAAGGAGCGACACAGATTGGCGGCGCGCACACGGGCGTGGCGCGAGGGGGCGGCCTTTTAAGAGGGCAGGGGGCAGGGGGAACTTTCAGAAGGCACAAGACTTCTCAGAAGCCCTCCGCACTTGTTCGAAGTCCTCTCAGAAGCACCCACGAGTTTCTGCGAAGGCCCCTGCCTTCTGAGAAGACCCCGTCCTTCTTAGAAGCCCCCACTCCACTCGCGCACCCCCATTCTGGGCGCAGCCAAACAGCGCGTATCCAGATAGCATCGCGGCCGAGATCATCGGCCCTCGGGGCGAGCACATCAACGGCATCCAGAGGGCGATCGGGGCCGAGATGCTCGCCGTCCGCGGCGAGGGCCTGGGCGAC